GGGATGTTTTTCTTGTGAAGTACGCACTTGATCACTGTGCTTTTGTTCTTATATTACTGTGACTGCTTATAGGTTACATGAAAAAGTGTATCATAGTGATAAAAATATCATACATTATGTTTTTCATGTAGATTACTCTCTAAATTTATTTAGATATGACCTGAATAGAGTTGATGCTGTAGTGAAGGTAATGTAATTAATATGTTGTTTGGAGTAAAACTTTTCATTCAGTCCTCAGGGACGCAGGTTCCGGTCTCGTAATGAGTTGCGACTATTCTTTGAGGAAAAAGGGGAACCTTTTAAGGAAGAAATGTTTGACTTCTGCCTCAGTGGTAAAAAGCGGATGTCTCGAACTCCAGATTGTAGCCTTCCAGAGGGAAGGAAAATGTGAGTTGTTATTTAAGAATCTTGATTTTGAGAAATATTAAACACTTTATATTTGTTCCTTTGATATTTCTTGATATGTAGGATCTTAGTAGTAATCAAGCAACATGGTGCAACTTCCCAGAATAGAGCCATCTTAAACAATTATGATGATCATGGTGGTGGTGGTGGTGGTGGTGATGGTGATGATGATGATGATGATAATAATAGTAAATGTTTGTTTCTCTGGTCATACAGTTTGTTGCCTGCAGAACATTTTTCCATTATTTCTCTATTTATTTTTTATATAAATACTTATAGCTGATTATGTGGGATGTAAGTTACAGTCTGCTGCTGCTGCACATGATAAAAGTATTAAATTGTATGTTATTGTTGTTAGATGTCGTGGTGCTGGTGGTAGAACTAAGACAGTAGTAAGTCCTGCTGGTGATGGGGGAGAACAGCAACCATTATCACTACAGCAGAAACCACAGGTGCAGCCACAGCGTCGGGTTAAAACCTTGCTGCCCAAAATTAGACGCACATCAGCATTACAATCTGAAGATGGCAGTGGCGAGAAACACATTGAACCGTCAACACCTCCACCACCATACACTACTACTGTAGCTCCAGTACCTGCCAATAAAATTCAGACTGAAGTGCTTGAAGGTGAAGGTACGTTTACAGTACAGGTGGAAGATTAACTCCCTTATGAATGGAAAACACGTCAGAGATACGTTACTGTGAATGTACAGAGTTCTTGATTCCCTGAAGATTTATTTAAAAAGTTTATTAGTGTGACTTAATTATCTTGTACATTTTGGTGTACATAATTTTTAAATTCCTGCTAAAGGTGTTTTTGCAGCTGCTACTTTTTTTGGTGGGGCGGAGGTCAGGGATGGTATAGCTTTACTTCTTCTCCAATGCCTGTTAGATAAGGTATCAGTACTAAAAAATGCAGTAGGCCTTAGATTATCTGCAGGCAGATAATTTTAGATGTGAGTTAACTGTGCCTTTAGATAAGCTGTTGGTCTAATTTTCAAAACATTCAATGCCATGTTTTTGGATTTTGTCCTTAATTTGAACACCGAGGTTTTAAGCTCAGTGCTGGGGTTTTGGACTATGAAGAAACAAATTATATCAGAAAAGATAATTTCTCCATGGGAGTCTTTTCAGCTGTCTGTCTTCCTGTTCTTGCATTTTATCTACCAACCTCCCATCTTATCCTGTCTTTACTTATCTCGTAACTTGGTCTATCCATCATGTGCAAGGTCTGTCTCAGTGTTGTTTGTAATCATCTTTGTGTATTAATTACCTTTGGTGCCTGGAATTTAAATGAGTTTGTGGTTTTTCATTTTCCCACCCATAAGCCTAAGGGTTTTTCTTAGTGTTTTTTTTTTGATAGTGTCGGAGTAACTGTTCATGGCTAGATACCGGACTCATTGGAAGTTAGAAGAAATTGCATTACAGTCAGCATGTATTAATGTCACATTAATGTTTAGCTATGTAGTTGAGAAAGGTTCCTTTTACCTTCTGTTAGGTTTGGTATAGGTGATGAAAGAGTTGAAGAAAATTCTATGTAGAGGATAAAAAACACATTCTTTAGCCATGTTATCATCTTTTGCAACAACCCAGATGACAATCCAAAAAGAATGTATAGATTATTCACATTGCCACTGTATTTTTAATTTTAATTTATTTTGAAAATGGCTCTTAAAATGTGCTTATTTTATCGTTGTTCAGAATTTCATAATCACTTTGTAGATCTAACCACATGTCATGTTTGTGGACACTCTATCCAGAAATTGAGTCATTATAATCTTCAATGCATGTCTTTTATGTTCTGTCCCATTAAAATTGGTTTTATCAGTCCAGAGATTATTAGGAAAGTGTTTATCTATCTGCTGTGTAAAATTAATGATGTCTTATATGCATACAATTAAATGACTTAGGCAAGTGTATCTGTACCTTTATCTGAAGTTGTACTTTGTCATAGTTATTGACCTACATTAAGAGATACAAGTTTTGTATCAGTACAGATCAAGGAACATTGTGCAAGTTGCAGAATGCGTTCTGTGAAAGTTTCCATTTATCTAATCTATACTTCACAGCTGATAAATTACAAACATATATCAAAATAAACACCGGTTTAAGTACATGCTTTCAAAAAATAAAACATACTTTTTTATCCTTTGTTCCATGAACAGTTGACACTGATAGAGTCTATGTTCTGTTTACAGTTCTTGTTGGTGGCTTAAAAATTCAAATGGAAAACAATACATTCAAGTGTCCGAAAGATGGCTGTGGCAAGAATTTCCGTAAAGAAAATTTATTACAGGTTGGTAACATAAGTATCCAATTAAACATAAATTCCATATACATGTTGTTTTACATTTATCTTATTAGGGTGACATTTTGATGTGTAGAATATCTTCATATTCCTTTAATTTGAAACTTCACTGTGCTCCAATTTCTTTTGTATAAAATTATATTAAAATTATCCCAAATGGAACTATTTGTTAAAACTACTATTATTGATATGTTTCTTTGTACTTTATTGCCTATTGGGTCATATTATCTGTGTTTTGTTTTTTGCCATGTTATTTGTTTATGCTTACAAATGGTCCATTTATCTTTACAAGATAGTACCAAAATAACCTGTATTTATTTGGCTGGTTTGATTTGGTTTGGTTTATCGGTATACCTATTATGTTACAGTAACTAAAGCTAAATATATTGTGCTGTATTTTGCAAGCACTTAAAGAAAAAAATAATTCTGCTGTACATTATAACAATATTATCATGCTGCATTAGATTGTGGCAATTCAAAGCATATACCAGTAGGTGGCTCTGCTAGCAGTAATTGAAAAACAATTAACCAGTGTGACATTATGGTATGAAGTATGAGTGAGTACATTAATTATAAATGTGTTAGAAGAAAGGCAATGAAATCATCACAACTATCAAAGTGGTATCAAGAACAAAATTGTTGGACTGTTATAATTATGGTATGTAGCAAATATCAGTGAAATTCAGTTCAAACAGGTATGGGCCTTTTGATGGGTGGCTGTTGTGAGTGAAACTGAGACAGAATGCCATCGAGTTACTCAGTGGCAGGGTCAGATTGCTAGATATGATGGAGAAAATATGTCTGAAGAAACTTGAGTTCTATTAATAGGTATGCCATATAAAGTGTGAACGCTGTGGGTTTTTTGTGTCCAGTACACACCATTCAGCATGGTGTGCATTGGTGGTTAGCAGGATTCACGACCCATCAGTACATGGTTTCGATCGAGACTGCGACATTTAACGCTCCTGCTGTGACCCCCTTTCTGCGAGATAATGATGAAAGTGTAGTAATTATTGGGATGCCACGGAGAAAGCGGGGAAACCCCAGAGGAAAACTCTGTGATGCCTGGACCATGGTCGTGCCCAACACAAGTTGTAAATCTGAGCACCGCTGGGAATCGAACCCGGGACCCCAGTATTACAAGTATCACAAGCCCAGCGTTCTAACTGCTAGACCACCGTGGCGGTTAATGCTGTGGTGTATTAATACTTACAGCTCAAGAAGGTTGAACTTTTCATAATTTCTGTCTGTTTCTTTTATTTTCTCATCCCTAAATCCCTAAAACTGGGAAAAGGAAAGGCTGGGCAGGATGGGAGCCCCTTCGGTGAGGTTGTTATGTGAAAGAAGCAGGGTCAGAGTTGATAGTAGTTAATTCATTAAACGAAGGATTTAAGGTTCTCATGGCAGTGAGTACAAAGTTGGCTGCCTCTTTTTGTCAGATAATATTTTATTTCACCAATTTTCTTGAACTTGTCTTGAATAGAACTCAGTGATTTGTGTATCGCCAGTGTTTATGAGCAATCAGAAATGCAGGCAGTTGAGTAGAAATTGCTGTCCATGGTTTAGTAACATATTGGACATTTTATATCCTTTTATTTTGCTTCAGATGCATCTCAAGCATTATCATCCAGAGTACAACAAATTCATGGGTTCAACGCCAAATGTGGCTGATCTGGCTTATGCTCGAACAATTGGCGAATCAATTGATGACCTCATACCTAAATCAAGATATACTGGTGTTGGTTCTGTTGGTGTGAGTGGTACAACCTACTCAGAAAAGTCAAATCGTTTTGAGCCGACTCGTAAATCTAAAACTGCTGTTGCTGGTGTTGGTAGTGGTAAGATTGGAGGAGTAGGGGGAATTGCAGGTGGAGGGGATTGCAGTCCTGCACCTGAAAAAAAGAAGGTAACAACCAAGGAGAAACAACAGTCTACAGTACCTGCAAAAAAACCTGGGAAAGGGTGAGTCAAAGTTTGTGCATATTTCCTTTTTTAATCTTAATATTTTTTAGAAATTGCATTTCCTCTTTTAGATTCACTGAAATCCAAGCTGGGATTCATGCATCATAAACTGTCATTACATAAAATAAAGCTGCTAATTGTTTTAACTGTTATTCTGTGGAACCTCATTATCAATTTCAAGGGACCAGTGCATTTTGTTTGTTACAGCAGAATTTAAATATATAAAAGTTTGTTTAAAAATTCTACATTTTGTAATCATATATGTACTATTGCATTGCACATGTGTACTCCACTGTCAGAATTATACCTCTTTACTCTTCTGTACTTTGTGGTAGGGGTGTTAGTGAATGTGGAAGTATTACTGTTTTATTACAGAAAATATGTTCATTGGTGTTCAGAATCTGTGCTAAGATTCACAGATTGAATTGTACACAAGCTTTTAAGATGCTTCAGTGGCTAGTGCTTTAAACTTGTATGTTATTATTTTGCTTTATTCTTATCAATTGATATTCCATCTTCCTAGTACGAAGTAGCATATTCTATAAGCTTTGGTAAGGTAGAGAAGGTCTTTGAAGTTAAGTAATATTTATATGCTGTCCTAATGGAAGTATTCTATCCAATGTCTTCTTCCTGTTCCTGAAGGATTTTTTCCCCTATAATTGAAGAAGCTTTTGTACCTATGCTATTCGTTTAGTGAATCTTTACAAGAATTGACTGGTGATTTATTTGAGACATCATGTGGATTTTGTGGTGGTATTTGTTTTGGTGATCAGAATGGTTGGTGACACTGATGGACAAGCACAAGCTGATGATGCATCTGGCGAGAATAAGGAGTCAAGTGAAGAGAAGCCAACACTTGTTGATAACCGGGAGAATACATCAACCCCAGTTGCTGATATTGCAACAGCAATAACACACAGGGAAGAGAAGAAGGATCCACAGACTACAATTAAAACTTTAATGCCAGTAATTCGTTCACCATCACGTGTTCAAGACATATCTGCATCTGAGCGGTCAGCATTTTCTTCTGTCAATTTTTTATGCTCTTTCAGTTCCTCAAGGGGAATATGGTTCCTACTCTTTGCAGGGTAGAACCACTCTTAATATTATTTATTATTATTCTCAGAATATAGTTTCATATTTTTTGGTAGGTAACACATTTGAAGAAACTAGAAGCAGGACTTGTTGAAATTGGCTACAAATGTGCATTTACATTATAAATTTTACCATCTACATTTCAGTAGTTAATTTCATTTTTGTTCATTAATATACTTATATTATCATTAATTTAAGTATTGAACTCATCAGTGTTAATTGGTTTTATCATATATATATTTGCAAAATCAGCATCAGTCGAAGTAAAATAAGCCCACAATAATTTATTTTCCATTTACATGAATCTACTCAAATAAAAAAGTGAAAAGAATATTTTAGAGGGAAGCAGACATTTAAAAATTATAACAAAATTATCACAAAGACAGTCACAGTTCAGAAAAGTAACAGGCAGCTTGGGTAGAACTACAGGGTGGCGCACGAAATGATGCCCTATTTGTTTTAACGATAAATCAGCAACCACGTTACGGATGAAGTTTTTGGTTATGTGGGTAAGTGTAGTAGTTCATGGAGATACCATTAGGTGGCACATGCATCACCTAGATAACGCGAGGTGATTATGTCGTGCTTTCCCGCCAGTATGCAGAAGATGGCAGACAGGGGAAGACTTACGGTTCAGTTTTGTTTTTTGCGGAAACAAAAAGTGTTGTGGAAACACAGACGGTTTCATGCCCATTTTGGTACGCGGTGGGCCCCTGCTCCAAAAACTATTCAGACTTCATCAGCAGTTTCAACAGGATGGTACAGTGTTGGTAAAGAAACGTGGACGTGCCGCAAGTGTGTGTAGCCCAAAGAACATTGAAGCTGTCAGAGTAGCCATGCAAAGAAGCCCGGGAAAATCAACCCGGAAGGCTACACCGCACACAGCAAATGTTTTCTTGGACTTCCTGCACAACACTTTCGGTCCACATGTGAATTCCCACCGATATCCTGCTTGCCACGGATGTGGACAGAAACCCCTGCGAATTTTTCCTTTGGGGTTACCTCAAGGAAAAACTGTTTCCAAAAAAACCAGGCTCAATCATGCAACTCAGGGCTTTGATTGTTTAAATGTATGGTGAAATTTCGGAGGAGCCGTTCGTGTTTCGGAAGTTGCACGACAGATCGGTGGTCATATTAAGCATGTAATCCATAAAGGATAAATCTCCATGAATTGTTCTTTGTGTTCATAGATATATATGTCCCATTATATGAATATTAAAGCCTTTATTTAAACTTTCAGTCGGGTATCATTTCGTGCGCCACCCTGTACTTACCAACACAGTAGCTATTCAGAGGGGGAGCAGGTATTGTACAGGTGGAATCACAGTTGGTCTAAAAGGTTGGAGCTGTTTGAGAATAGTAAGGGAAATTCTGGTGGGAATGTTTACCCAGTAACTTCACTGTTGTGACATTAGTCTCCCTTCAGGTGTTGCCACTAAAATTTTGCATGCATTTATCATTTCCCTTATATATCAGAATAGAATATAGAGACATTTATAAAATTTTATTGAAAGTTGCATATTACAAGAATTTGTATTTTTAACATAACTAATGATGAAAATGTATAAAGTATTTGTACTTAAATCAGACTCTCATATGCAGTACTTTCTTGTTATAGGTTGAAGAGTAAATTGCCAGTAGTTGAGGAAGGCGAAGAGTATGTTGAGGTAATTGATGTTGGACCTAGGCAAGTACCATCTACTCATACCACTACTCTCAGGTTTACCCCTCAGACATCAGGAACAACCCCACAAGGCTCTACAAGTTTCACAAAATCTCTTCGTACCATTCGTCGACGCCGTCTGTCAGACTTCCATTTTGAACCTTTGTATAAGAGGCGTAAGTTAGGTAAGAACTTATTTCATTGATAATTACGTTATTTATAGTTGTTGCCATCATAATGAATGTTAAAAAATTGCAATGTTGGCGTAGTGACGAAAAGAAAAAAATGTTCTAAAATAATCGAGAATGTATGATGCACGCATGGTGCATCACTATTTTTGAACTGAAACTTGGGCATACAGAATTAATTTTATATGCTTGTAAACAGAGCAATTCTAAAACATAGCGATAACACCAGAGTATGAGGTATCGAGTATAGCAATTATGCATGCATTTGTAACAAATATATGAACACTGATTGTACAGTTAATAAACATATGTTGTCAGCATCAGCATCAAAATTGGATATATTGGCAAATGTGGATGTAGTGGATGATGGTGGATCTTGTGTGGATGTGGCAACTTCAGCGCCTCCAGCTAC